TTCACCACCTTAGCTGCCTTGGTCGATGTCCCTACATAGCAATTGTGACTAACGTTCCTCACTTTCGAAGACACTTCTTCTTATCAACAGCATTTGCAACATATCCTTTGAGACAGAACAAAATACCGTCGACTGATAAACTTGAAGAGTCAATTTCAATTTGCTGCTAACCAAGCATCACAGGGGTGAATTTTATGCAGTCAAATTAGGGATTGATTTCAAAATGTCTTAACTTTACATGATTCTTTGCCATTTGATGTAGTAAGTGCGATGTTTATCTTCTAGCACATAACCAAAGACATATTGTTTCAAGGTTATTGCATTATTTAACATTTAACAAAGCGACCATTTACTATTAAAGGAAATATACACCTGATGTTCACAAAAGTAAATGAATGTATTAGGTGATTAAGTACAATATTAGGTGATTTATTGATAACTAAATAAATCGATTATATTGGATAGTCTTATTGTATTAAACTTAGTTTATAGCACTGTGTAACATATTGTTTTTGGTAGTAATTGTTGTTTCCTAATTGTTCATGCCTCAAAAGTATAGAAAATGACTATTATTGCCCACAAACTGTGCTTTTGCAACCAGGACAACGATATCTTTAAATTTACCTATTTTTCAGAACGTTCCATATAAATTCAGTGCTGAGTAACTTGGAGTAAATTCTAGAAATTTCTAGAACTCTCCAGTGTTATAAATAGTATTATAAATACAGAGCCTTAATCCCACCAGTTCAATTTATTTCCAACTGCCTAAGTTGTTAAATATCTGCATTTTTCTGAGATGATATCATGAAGCTGCAAGCATCACGCATACGCATTTTTCTGCGTCTGCTGCCAATTGAAAAAGAATTTTGTGGAAGCATCTGCTGTGTGAGGCTTACAAGTCATATTTATGTATGCATGTCGGGGATCAAGACAAAACCTGGGTACCTCATTTCACCATCTAGCACTGCAAACATCTCTGGGAGGTAAGATGGACAATTGCTGCTCGAAATTTTATGTCATAAAATTTGTTTAAAATTTCTAAAATTGTAATTTTTTGAAAGTTTTCCTTTTTTGAAAAAATATATCATATATGTAAAATATTGCGATAATTCTTACTCATTAGCAATAGGTGAAACAAATGTATTTTTGTGGGATGGGAAAAGAGAGACATGAAATTCACTATCTCAAGAATCTAGCAGGAACCCGCTAAAACATTCATGCAACTGTTATTACATTCCTTCATTCATCGCACCGGTGCCACAGTGCCTGAGCTCTCCGTACCCACGCCTTTTGAGAGAGAGAGAGAGAGAGAGAGAGAGAGAGAGAGAGAGAGAGAGAGAGAGAGAGAGAGAGAGAGAGAGAGAGAGAGAGAGAGAGAGAGAGAGAGAGAGAGAGAGAGCACCAACAAGTTAGAAAGCGAGAAGATCCAGATAACAATTTAAGCTGAGGACAAAAACCCATATTACTCAACAAAAAAGACTGGTCTCACCAAGTCCAATACCTGGCTCTTGACATCTACGCTCAAGTTGTAGAACTAGTTGGATGAAAGTGCAAGTTGCAGATCAGAGGAAGCACCACCAAGCTTTTTCCAGCTTTTTCACACGTTAAGATTGGCTCTGCTTCTGCCACAATATGATCAGCCTGTTCGAGGAAATCTGAATCATCTGTAATCAGAATGAGTATTGATTCTTGATTGACAGCTCATACAGAAACCTCAAAACCATACTGTTACATAATTAAAACAAGTACCCATCTCTTTCCCTGGCTCACTTGGTGTACATCAAAGAGGATTACAACAGCATCAAGACCTTGCTGGATGCCTTGAAGTATGATGAGTATGGCTGGAAGGTCACCGGAAACTTCAAAATGGTGGCATCCCTGATTGGTCTTCAAAGCGATTTTACCAAATTTCCCTGATATCTTTACCTTTGGAACAGCAGGGATACTAAGCCGCACTACCACGGACGAGACTGGCCACAGCGGAACGAATTCTCTGTTGGTGGTGCTGGTGGTGGGACAACGATTTTTAAAATTGTGGAAGCTCAGGGCACTTGCGGGTCCCCGGAAGGTGCTGATGCCACGACTGCACATCAAATATTGGGCCATACTAAACAATTTATTAGAGTTCTAGATAAGGATTCGCCAGTTTTCATGTATCTTCAAGCCTTTTTCCCTAAGATGTTTGAGGCAAAGTTCAAAGCCTGTGTCTTCGTCGGACAACCTACCGCCCTACCGGCTCAAATCGTTACCTACCCACCTACAGACATATCTATATCTCTGCAATTTTGAACCTCTAAATGGCCTAATGGTTAGAGAGTCCGCCTTCGATGTGAAAGAAAGTGGGTTCGAACCCCTTTTGAGTCATACCAAATACATAATAACGGTGCAAACAGCTGCCTCGCTATTGTTAGGAATGGTTGGCCTGGTGTCAGGATAATGTGACTGAGTGGGACCTCTTGCTTTATGACAGCGGCATGATTCCTTTGGTGCTAGACATCGCTATAAACTGCCACAATACAGACATCGTAAAATTATTAAAGCTACATTAAAAATTACACAAACAAATCCAGATTACAGATACACTTATCTATCTCCAATGTTGTCCTTTTTATATACATTACATCTTTTAATCTATATATTTGACTCTTGCTTGCATGTATAAAAGATCATCTTTCTGCAAGATCACTTTCAACTGGCCACGTGATTGGTTGATATGAGAAGTTTTGATTGTATTTGTAGTGTAATCCACATTGCTAAGCACTCATCAAATGAGCTGCTTTCCAGAATAACAGTGCTAATGTGAGATTCGTCCACTGTAAAGAAATCACATTGCTAAATGAACTTAAAATGGACCGAAATGTCAAACGCATATAGAATTTACTTCAAGTACATATTTTGTTCTATTTTAAAAATAAAATGAAGTGAAGTACTTGATCTGAATATGGCTAAAACAACATGTCTTTGAGATCTATATGCATGCCACGATCTTATATTTGTGTTACCATTTCCTAAAGTGCTAGTACAATTTCCATTGGATGCACGCTCCCTTGAGAAATATGACTAAATCAATGTGTTATCTTTCAAAACATAACAAAAGATACAGGCACAATGTGAGATGAATTCACAACAGAGTGCGCCTATTGTCGGAAATGTGATGAGCAATGAAAAAGAAAAGTATTGAACTAACATCAATATATTGAAGACCAGTACCTGGACCGGTGTAAATCAATAGTTGTTTTCAGGAAGTATTTATGAAGTCAGAAACTATATTTATTTTAAATTGACACTGTTTTTTATCCAGTATTTTCTAGCGTGATATGTCAAATTTTTAGAATACTAATAATAACTGTATTCCTTTATGAAATAGTTGTCAAATTAAATTTTCACCTAGTTTTTATGTTGTATTTGTGTGTGTGTGTGTGTGTGTGTGTGTGTGTGTGTGATCTGGAGTTTTAACGTAGCTTTAACAATTTTTCAGTCACATCGCTACGATGTCTGCAGTGTCGCAGTTTATAGTCTAGCACAATTTCAGCCAATCAGTAAAGAGAATGCACTGTAAATAAAATGTACCGATTGTGTGATGATAAAGCATTTTATTACATACCCATTTAATTTTACATAGGGAATATGTCGTTCGACACACATATTCATTCTGATATTCCTTATCGCACACCCGTTCTGGAACTACTTTAACAACTTGAAATATCCCCAAAACAGTCCACTTAAAAATATCAGAATCGAGTTATTGCTATATATTTTAATCTATTCAAAATTATCTGCACACATGTGCAATTGTAAAAGAGAAATCAGTCATACTGGGTGCAAATGACAGTTTTTGCCGCTGGATATAATGAGTGCGTTCGTTAAATAGTGACGGGTAGCTTATGGACATTTCACGAGATATTTGAGTTAGTTGAGGTTGACAAAATAAATCTTACAGAATATTTGACAATGAATTCTCAGATGAAGTGGGTGAGCCGAGTGATAGAGGAGAATTCCTAGCACTTTGCCGCTGAAATCAAGTATTTGAAAGTTTTAAAAATTAAGAGAATGTAAGAAAGACTCAGGCAGTTAGGATTCAAGACCTTATTAAAACTTCCTCCACGCTAGGAAAAAACTTTATACCTGATTAATAAGACACTTAAATTGGTGTCTGTCTTGTTACTTTAATTAGATCCGATGGTTTATACCATGAACCAAGTACACAAAGATACAACATTTGATATGCAAATGAGTTTACTAATTTCCACAACACGCTGAATTATGGACGCAGCAAACTCAAGAGACCGTCGAAATCGAAGAATAAAACCTTCCAAACTATGTACCGTTGATCTCGTTCTCAGCTGCAGTATTGGTGACACCATATAAATCTATCTAAAATGCCCTCCCCCATCTAAAGTTCATTTCAACTCCAGAGTTTCAAAACCATTATAGAGGTAAGTTTAAGTGTATGAAATTTAAATTTGACTATTATTATTACTTAGGAATCAAATTAGTAATTAATTCTGAGAATAAAACCGATAACCATTTGCAACATAACTATTGAAGTGTTATGAAGTGTGGCAGCTGTTTACAGTGTGACGTAAATTTAGATGAATTAGATCTTGTTACATGTTGTTGACTTTTTCATCACGCAGAGAGATATGTTTGTTTACATATAAAATTCTTACGTCTGTTCAAGTAGGCAAAAAAACAAGCAAACAGAACAATATTGTTCGAATCTTTTACTTCTAAACAATATCGGAAAGACCGCATGTTAGAAAGTGTGTGTCTGTGTGTGATTTGGATTTTAACATAGTTTTTGCCATATCGCTACGATGTCTACAGTGTGGCAGGTTATAGTGATGTCTAGAACTGGGGCATCGTGCCGCATACATGTAGCATGATGTCTCACCTAGTCACATTATCTTGCTACCAGGTCAACCAGTCCTAATACTAACCTGCATATGCTGAGCGCCTAGCGAGGCAGTTATTAGTACCAGATTTTTAACTCTTTGGTATGACTCGGCCGGGGTTCGAAATCGCGACCTCTCGCATCCGAGGCGGACGCTCTAATCACTAAGCCACTGGAGCTGTCCATGTTAGTACGAGACATCATGCTTTGATTATAGCCTTTATGTTGATTGCATCAATAATTTCTTGTAAATAAAAACAAAAATGTTTGTAAGTACCGTATAATCGATGTGCTCTTGCTTAAAAATGAATGTATTTAATTACTGGTATTTTGCCCTGAAATTTGTACAGTGTTTGTATGGTTACGTGACAAGGGCTTATACTCAGTAACAAAGAAAATAGTGAAAACCAACATGCTTTGTATATTTTAACAAAACGATTTATTTTCCTAGACAACAGTGTAAAAATTGGTAAATAGTTCTTACAGTTTGTGAATATAATCCAAAGTTTGATCCTAAGAATGAAAAAACAAACAAACAAGTAATGTCACTAAATACTCCTATAAGAATCCAGGTTCGTGTCCCGACGACGCACGAATATGGAAGACTATGTCCTCAGATATTGTCCAATGTATGTTTTACGAAGGTTCTTTTACGAATTGTGATTAATCTGAATAGTCTGTTTCATAAAACACTTAGCAATGTTCTATTCCATGGTCGGACGGAAAAATAGAAGAAAAAGGGAGAGTTCCGACTCTCTCAAGATAAGGTTTCACATATGATGGTGTAGATACGGCTACATTTTTTGGGGGGAAAGATTTGGCAACGAGAGGTAGCGAAGATTGCTGTAAGAAATAGACACAACACTCTCTGAGGTTCGAAGTCGCACTTTATTGATATATAGAACTATATTCTAAAGATACAACATATAAATTTATTTATGTTAAAACTACATACAATACATATTACAATAATAGTTCTTCCACAATCTACTACTTAATTTGTTTATTCATTTTTCTGCATTCTTTAATACAAGTGATTTAAATATTCAAAGAGCCTAAAGTTCAATAACTGTAATAAATAATAAATAATCATTTTCAAGAAATATATTTTATTCCATTTAATGTAAGATAACGACCTGGAAAAGATCTGTGAGTGTTATACTTATTATTTAAAGAATATATATTTATTCGCAATCAAATTATAACATGAAGCTGGTAATTATTTCAAACAAATACTAATGAACATCGAAACTGTAAAATATTTCATTACATTATGATTGTGGAAGAAGGGAACTCTCAATAATATTACATTATAAATACAATGAACATCAATTCAGTAAAATATCAAATCAGTAAAATATTTCATAGTAGAAAAAAAGAAAACTCACTATTACATTATATTGATAAAATAAAAAAGAACTCAACTACTATAAAATCTTTTAACTTTTAAGAGTGAGTATAAAGCATAATTTTCTTACCTGTAAGAAATAGACACAACACTCTTTGAAGCTTGAAGTTGCACTGAGACTTACCAGCCCACAGCCTTTGTTATATTTTGGAAGCTGGTGATCATCAGTATACTACGTTTTCATTCAAGGTCAGAGAGGTCTGTCTAATGAACTATGACTATGTTCTACAAGTCACGCGTGTTCTTGTGTGATAGTCAAGGACTGATTCAACCTTTTATCAAGTTTAGAGGGGAGGGGAGAGAAGGAGAGAGCATTCTTTTGACTGCCAAGGACGGTCTTTGCTCTCCATTAAGCCGACAAAGAGAGAGCGTGCATGCTCAGTAATTTTCCTAAGTGAACGACCTTTCAGATCATACATTGTCGTTAACCTTTTTGTTAAAAGTGGTCATTCACGTTCTGAACTTTTAACCCATCTAATTTTGTTCTTCTAAACTGATTATTAATTACATTGTTCCCAGTATCACAACGCAATTAATAAGGGTTTATTGATTGAATTGTGACGCAGTAACGTTGTTTGTTGTCCGTTGCTGAACTATTGAACCAGCGTATTAATTTGAATAAATCAGGCTTTTTTCATTACTAAGTCAAGTTGAGGAAATAAGGACAGAGTTTAATCTGAATTCATTTCCACGTTCTCTTATGTTCAGGATATGAATTATTGATTGGTCCAGGCTTCTTTACAAACCAAATCAATATTATAGCATTCGTTTTAAATTCGTAGGTTTGTTTTCCAATAATTATAGATTTCAATATATTCTACACAAATTAAATGTTATCGTTTCTTTCTTTTAAAATTGATATCTTGATAATACCTCCTGGGTTATTTTAGTCGAGTCATCGAGGCTAGTAAAAAAATGATAAGTATACAAGGAAGATGAAAGAAAATATTAAAAATCAAAAATTACAATGCTTAGGTAGGTTAAAAAATTACAATGCTTGGGAAGTTGATAAATTGCAAAAAGTCAATGAGAACAATATTCATTGCAGTACATATTGTGAAATGCAAAATAAGAATACAATAAAAGGTATAATAATTAATAACTGTAAGATACATTAACAAATACACCAGAATAGGCATGATAAAAGATACATGGAAAAATGGACCATAAAATGTGTAATAAGGAGCCAATATAAAATGAAAAAGAGATTACAATGACATAAGGAAGAACAAATATTAAAAAAACCGAAATACAATGAAGTTCAAGTACAATAGTGAGAAGTTCAACGAAAACACCCTTGACAATAGTAAATGAATCCCAAAAGAAAGGTTACTATTAATATGAAGTCTGTCGGAGAGAAAATTGTTTTTTTTACATTATCTACTTTACAACTAGGTACAATTGACGATTTATTATCAGCATGCAGTTCTTGTTTTTAACATTTTTTTAATACGTTAGTTTACTCTTTGTGTTATTATTTTATTATTATTTCTATTTCATTTTAAAAAAACTTCTGTAGAACATAATTAAAATTGCTGTGTAAGCGCTAGGTTAATCGGTGAAGTTCACAGACTTCTGTTAATTTATCTGAACCATTATATATCCGTTATATGTCATAGTCCAAGGTTCAATCGCTCAATAGAAGGGCGTGTTCATAATTTTGAATGATACTTCTTGTGAATTATGACTTTCATATATATTATTTCATACCTGAGATAACAAATATTTTAATTTGAGAAGATATATAGAATGTGTGGTATGATGCTGTATTATTTCTGGTAAACTAAGTAATTGTATAATGCGCGTTCGTGATAATTTCATTAAATCTAAAATTGGTTGATACATCTTGAATGTCATCTGGACAATTGGGGTATGTAGCGCAGTATATAGGTCACGTTCTTTACGTGTTGCTATAAATATCATAAACAGTAATGTGGATCCTTCGGCGTTCTTGAATAAACTATGTAATTGATAGATGCGATCGTTCAATTTGATCTAAAAATTCCATTAAAACATGCTGTGAAATCAGTATAGCAGGTGAACTCGCTTGCTGAAAATTTCGCTGTATGACTAATTCGCTGTCTCTCAACAGTTTGAGCTGCAATCATTTCTTCACTTTTCTAATATTCATCACTAATATTTCGACAATGGAAAGCATCGCTTGCTCTAACAGTATAAACGTTTTTGAGTTTGGACCAATAGCCATTAACATGTTTCGAATTTCTATTATCAACTTGGCATGTATAGGAGGAGAAATCACCTCCATATCGAGCAATGGTACCGAAAATTTAAATTTCATTATTCTGTTGCGTCAGCATATTTGTATGACTTCCTACTTGTTGCAATGTTTTCATTATCAGCATTCCAAAGAAGTATTTACTTATTTTGTCAATAAGGAGAAAACTTCTCTCTTGACACGTTTGAAGGTTGCAAAACACCTTCCTGAATTAACTCATTTATTAATGAGATTGTTATATTAAACTGCATAATACGTAATACACATTGACTTTAATTCTGAAGAATATCATTTATGTGGCTACATTTGACATCTCTGTGACAATAGTCGATAATTTCGACTGAATAATTCAGTAAAAGTCTGACTTTAAGATGCGAATCCGCTTATCGGCATGTACCACAAAATAGTGGGAGTGGTTAGAGATAACCCATAGCGTAAATTATTTTTGTTCTGTTACTGCGGACACTGAATTCAGAGTTTAAAAAAAGGAATACAATCCTACGAACCAAATCCATATTCCATCCATACCTTAAAGAGACAGAAAGAGGTTGAGAGGTTTTGCCGGCAGAAAAAGAAACGAAATAGAAGGTACGAGGAAATAATGGAATGGAGGATAGGACTATATCTCTCCCATAATACGATGAAATATTCTTCAGAATTTCACATTGAGTTCAATGACGAAATATTCGACCTAGTCGTTTACGACGTGTATTTGATTGTGTGCGTGTTCTGTGAAATGCTTCTTTTAATGCTGGAGAAACATTTTCTGTTGGTTGCCATGATGGTGTGGATCCATCGGACCATTTTACCAAGTAATGTTTTTTCCCAGAAATCCACTTATCATTTCAAAAGTTTGTCCACTGAGTACCATTCTGTACTATTGTCAGTCGGTGCGTGACTATTGCTGGTTTGTTCGTTTGGTGCCTGATTCGTCCGAGTGAGAGTGGCGGCTGTATCTGACGTCGGGGGTCGATAATCCCTAGGATCTTTATAATACTTAAGCCTGTTGGCGTGTACAAGTGATTTCATTTCCTTATTGTCAGAACAACGGCGTTATCTGTAGGTATTATTCGGACCTAATTCAGTGATGTAATACGGACCTTCACATCGGGGGTAAAGTTTTATGATAACCCTACCTGGTATGTGTGCGATTTGTAGGTGTACATAATCTCCAACGCGAAAGGACGGTTCTTTCGTTTTCTGGTCTAACCTTTGTTTGGTTGAGTGTTGTACTTCGCGGGTGTTTGCTTTAGCTAATTCTTGAACTATTTTCAATCTTTGAACTAACTGATCTATGTACTGTTTTGTTTGTTGCTGTGCAGTCCCTCGAGGTGGACGAGATACAGCTAAAGGTAAGGTCATTTCTTTCCCAAAGACTATGTAATAAGGTGAATAACCAGTTGAGTTAACTGCTTGGCTCATTCGGAATGCCATCATTATACTGGACAAAAGTGACGGCCAATCATCTTGGTGCTTATTGCAGTAGGCGGAAAGCGATTGACTGATGGTACTGTTCAACCGTTCGCTGGCTGAGT